AGCAGAACGAGCAGAACGAGCAGAACGAGCAGAACGAGCAGAACGAGCAGAACGAGCAGAACGAGCAGGAAGCAGGAGACTAGGGGAGTAAGAAATAGGAAATAAGAAGCAAAGAAAAAACAATAGGAAACAAGAAATAAGATATAAATGCAGAAACAAAAGGAAGCAAGAAACTAGAAGCAAGGAAACTAGGAAGTAAAGAATAGAAGCAGACAAGCAGACAAGCAGAAAAGCAATGACTGGGATGACAAATAAGAAACAAGAAAATGATAAGAATAAGAAAACTATCTAATAAGAATAAGAGACTATCTAATAAGAATAGGAGCTATCTGATAAGAATATAATAAGAAAGAAAGGATAAGCATAAGAAACTATCTAATAAGAATAGAGATAAGAATAAAAATCTATCTAACAAAGAAAGAGATGAAATCAAGAGTAATGAATAAGCAGAACAACGCTGAACAGGCAAAGCAAAGAATCAACACAAAACAAGCAAAGAAACGTTGGGCAGGGCAGGGAAAGGCAGTGCAGGGCAGGTAGGGGAGGCCAGGTAGGGAAGGACAAGGCTGAGCAGAGTAGGGCAGGGCAGGGTAGGGCAGGGCAGGGGAAGGCAGGGTAAAGGCAAGGCAGGAGAAGTGCTGGACAGGGAAGGGCAGGGCAAAGCAGGCAGGGGAGGGGACGGATGGGCAGGGCAAGGAGGGACAGGATGAGAAGGGGAAGAGACGGTAGGAGAGGTAGGGAAGGGGATGGTATAAGAAAGGCAGGGCAGGACAGGAGATGGGCAGGAGATGGGCAGGAGATGGGCAGGAGATGGGCAGGAGATGGGCACGGAGGGGAAGGGGACGGGCAGAGAGAGGAAGGGTAGGCAGGGAAAAGGCAGGGCAGAGGGGGCAAGGGGAAGGGTAGAGCAGGCAGGGAAACGGGAGTAAACGGTAGGGGAAGGGATGGACAGGGAAGAGCAGGGCAGAAGAATGTCGACGGGAAAGGTAGGCAGGGAAAAGGCAGGATAGAAGAAGGGCAGGGCAGGAGAAGGGTAAGGGGAAGGGCAGTAAAAGGGTATGAAATGGGCAAGGTAGAGCAGGGGAAGGGGAAGGGTAGGGAATGAGCAGGCAGGGGAAAGACGGGGGAGAGCAGGGTAGAGGAAGGATAGGGGAGGACGGCAGTAAAGGGCAGAAGAAGGCAAGGGAAAGGCGAGGCAGAGAAGGACAGGGCAGAGTAGGATAGGCAGGTAGGGGAGGGGAGGAACGGGCAGGGCAGGCAGAAGAGGGATAAAAAGGAAAGGAGGTGATAGGCAAAGGGCAGGGAAAGGATAGGAAAAGGGCAGAGGAGGGCAGGGGAAGGCAGGGGAAGGGAAGGGCAAGGCAGGGAAGGGAAGGGTAGGGGAGATGAGGGCAAATAGGAGAGAAAAGGGAAGGGAAGAGAGGAGCCGAGATAGACGGATGACGAGAAGAGATGGTAGGAGAGAGGGTAGAGAGAACAACGGGGTAGGTAAGGTAGGTCAGGGACAGGCGGGACAGAGTAGAGTAGGGAAAGGTGGGGAGATGAAGGTAGGCAGGAGAGCGAAGAGAAGAGAAGAGATGAGGTAGGATGGGAGGTCAGAGAAGGGAAAAGAAGGGCAGATGACGAGAGATGAGATAGTAGGGAAGAGGGCAGGCAGACGAGCAACGCAGAACAAACAGGAAAGCAGAGCAAGTAAAGCAGAACGAGCAGGACAGGCAGACGAAGTAAGAAAAGAAGTAAGCCAAACGGACGCAAAGAACGCTAGCAAAAGCAAGTAGAAAACAAGCACAAGAAGCAACGAGAATAGAACTATCTAAGGTAAGAATAGAAGGTAAAGATGTGAGGAAGAATAGGAAGAGTAGGAGGAGGAGAGGAGAGAAGAGGAAGTAGGAGCAAAGAGTAGAGAATAGGTGAAGAAGGGGGAGTTGTAAGAGGGATGGTTTTCCGAGAGACAAGCAGGGCTGGCAGTCCCTTTTTATAATCGTCCAAATGGCACCGAGACGAGGCAGAAAAAGCTTGCAAAAAGTCAGCGCTCGATATAATTAGAACGATTGAGTCAGGATGCGCAAAATGACTTCAGTGCAGGTCATCAGTCCAGTTTGGGCCGAACTGGAACGGTGGACGGCCTCAGAAGTCCCAAAAATAGATACGCGTTCCATGAGACGGACCACAGTATAGTTCCAAACGAAAACACATCCATCTGGGAGCCGTGGATAAGTAGGAAGGCGAAGTTCCAGGGTGTCGCCTTTTTTACACCAGGGCTACGTCGATCAAATTCGGCATCAAGTCAGCTCGACGAAGTATATCCCTATCCTAGATGTAGAGTAAGTCTTAGGCACACAATATGGAAACAGTAGAGCCAGAGGCAGCGGAATGTCTATTGCACATGCACTAAAATAAGATGTTTAAAAGTGTTTTTCGTAATTTTGTGAGCCACTAGAGGCGTAAAGCTATAACTCGATAAAATATGGTATAAACCTCGTCAGAAATACGTACTGAGGGAAAGATGCATGCCATCAGTGCCTATGACCGAACCACCACTGTAACTGCAAATGCTAGCAAGTCGGACGCGCATTTCCTCATGCCGGTCCATTCGGATTCGTTATCAACCATCGTCACAAAGACTTCCCATTATTCCGTAGCAAAGAAACAGATCCGCAATGAATACCTCGTAAATGGAGTTGCACACACAGGCTATATACCTTAGACGGTGTACTTGGCCTTGGCTCTCGTGCTGCCACTGTGTGCGCTGTCCGTGTGACCCGAGAACTCAACGGCATCAGCCTCCTTGAGACGAAGGACTTCCTTGAACCGCCGACCAATGTTCTCAAGGATCTCCTTGCCCTGTGCGGGTGTACGACCGTTCTTGTCTCCGGGGATACTCTTGCCAACAGTCCGGGTCCACAGACCAACACGGTAGAAGCCCTTGCGTACGTTCACAACAACACCCATAACCTCGTTGTCACCATCGTTCTCGAGAGTCTCGCCGATGGCGGCCAGTTGTGCGTGGAGCCACAGGTCGTCGATGGGCACGGAGCGCTTGTCCTTGAAAGAGTATGACCACTTGCCTCCGTGCTTGTTCTGGGGGTCTTCCCACTCGGGACGAACTCCCTTCTTGAAAAGATGGTAGTCGGCTTTGAGGCCCAACTCGGATGTCGGCGAAATGTTGTTCTATTGAAGCATTGGTTAGCCGGTGCGAGACTCCTCGGAGGACCCAAAAAGGAAAACACATACGTAGATACCCCAGAATTCCTCAACAGAGTTGAAAGTCACAACTTCCTTCAACAGATCGTTCCAGTTATCGCCCTATTGCGCAGGAGAGGTTAGTTGTCTGGCCAACTGCTATGTCTGATTCAGCAAGAATCCGTACCTTGCCGCTAGGGGGCTTGGTGAACCACAGAGTCCACTCGTGCATCAAAGGATGCTTCACAGTGAAGTTTTCGGGGTCGTGGAATACTGTGACAGAGTCTCCATTTGTCTTCTCGGTCTGTTCCTTCTGTTCGACGGCGGCAGCAACGGGGGCGGCGTTCTCGTCAGCCACGGGCGCGTGACCGTTCTCAGCAACAGCGGCCATTATGAAAGTTGATTGAGGAGGTGAGGGGAAAGTGAGGGTGGTTGAAGAGGATGCAACGGCGGGATTGTGGTGATGAGAGGGAAAGCGGTCGTGTCGGAGGGGAAGAGACAAAATAGCGCGGATGGCAAATTTTGTGTCGGAGAGTGAATCGCGGAAGGCGCAGCTGGGAAGGGTTGACGGGCTCAGAGTAGGAGCGGGAAGTGGCGCGCTCGGTTCACGGAAAGTTGAGTCGTCTGCTCCAGGCAGAATCACGGCGAGAGAAGTCGTGATAGAAGGGGATTTCTTGAGGCGACGACAGAAAATCACAACCTGAAGTTTTGATGGTTTGGAGAAAGCCGCATTTGGGGACACGATTGGAACTTTACCCTTTTGGGCCACGCCGCTTTGCAGTGCTTTCATAGGCTAACCGCTGCCCAACCCCAGCCCTAATCGCCGGGAATGTCATCTTGTCGACATCATGGTATTATTTTTAGATTATTTTTTCTATATATATGATGTGGATTAATCTCAAAGTCTACTCATTGATGCTGTCTTGTTACAAGGTCGAGATTTATTCAGGTCAAATTTAAGAGCTCATAGTAGTGCTACAGCCGGTTACTTACAGTACTACTTTTCAAGTAAGTTGAAATATATAAAACCGTCCGCGGTCTAGTAGCCAGGTCGCTAAAAACAACAATCCAAACCACACAACTATCAGCGAGTACTAGTTCCGTAGTAGTAATTTGTCTTCTTATAAGGCACTAAACAACATAATGCTACTTATTAATCTCAAACTAATCTATGTAACACGCGCAGAAAAACCTGTAGGTATAATAATCGAATGAAAAACAATTGGACCAGACAACATATAGTAATCTATGGACAGCATAGGGATATCTGCAAAGTGTCTACAACAGATGGGGTATTGATAATCAAAGTCACTTCTCACCGCTGTTAATCAGGCTCAACAAGCAGTTCCAGCCTAGTGATGTCAGTATCATTCGATATTAATAGAAGGCTGGGATATACTTACCCAACGCGACTAGGTTGACAAAAAGCACACGGTACTCAAGTGGCACGATAGCAAAGTTGACTCCTTGAACGAGAGGCCAGATTGCAAGGTTCGCTTTGAAGCTGGGAACAAAACCATTACGCCACTTCTCGATGGGATCGGTGCCTTCCATGATGGCCATGGAAGACAGGAAACAAGTCAGGTGTGCGGGAGTAAAGACACATTGATCCGCGACGACACGGGCAAGGAGTGTAGTTTTGGCGCTGTTCAGGACGACGTGACGCTGGAGGACACCGTACCAGGTGGTGGCAGCGGGTCCGAAGATCGCTGTTACATGTTAGCTTGCCCACTTGCATTGTATGAAGGCTCCCAGGACTTGTAAGGGCAGAAAGGGGACCTCAGAATGATAAGGGATTATATAGTAGCTTACCTCCACCATAAAGAGCCATGCGCCCCGTTCTTGCCATGTCGTGCTTATCAAATCCCTTACGATCGACTAATTGTTGGGCTAGAACATCTCCACTACCAAACAACAGCTAGTCCGCATGGGAAATAGAGGTCAGCGCAAACTGATGTTACGGCGGCGTTGAGATCAAATAATAGGAAGTACGAGAGTAAATGAATGGATAGCTTGTAGGAAGAAGGAAGCTCTTACAGCACTCGTCACACTAGCAGTGAGGATAGGTTGCTTGGCCAACCTCGCCTGATACCTGTGCCTGATCAGCAATGGAAATATTGATCATCAGGATGGACAAAACATACCAACGCAACATTATCAAAGAATAGGATATGACTATATATTAAGTAAAACTAATTAATGCGATTGACTGCGAACGGATATGATGATCCCAGTGCCCCAGATTTGTAAATAGTTGGAGAAGAGCAGAAGAGGACCCAAAGGGGAGCTATGATAACTTCAAATAATTGGATCAGAACCCCAGACCACCGATAAGAGCATCAGCGGGAAGTTGAAATGGAAAGAATAAAGCAAAATCATTGGAAGATAACGGCTCCCAATGGGGTATAATCCACTTGTCACATGATGATACGGGATGGGGGGTCCCAATCGGGTTACCTAATCGGGAGGGCACCTTAGGGCACAGGGCTGCGGGCTCGCTTAGCGCACCCGCCAGCGAAATTTCCCAGGTGCCAAAACAAGTTGTGGATAGCGAGAAGAAAGTCAACCTCGACGTCGACAACCCCAACGACACCTCCCGTCCGTTACCTCTCCCCCCCGACTTTCTCAATCGCCATATATATCCAACATGGCTGACGCTCCCCGTGGACGTGGAGGATTCGGCTCTCGCGGTGACCGTGGTGGTGACCGTGGCCGTGGCCGTGGTCGCCGTGGTCGTCGCGGTGGTGCCAAGGAGCAGGAGAAGGAATGGCAGCCCGTCACCAAGCTCGGCCGTCTCGTCAAGGCTGGCAAGATCACCAGCATGGAGCAGATCTACCTGCACTCCCTGCCCGTGAAGGAGTACCAGATTGTGGACTTCTTCCTCCCCAAGCTGAAGGATGAGGTCATGAAGGTACGAACCGATCGCCCGATTACCGAATTGTCGACAAGGAAGATCTACGATTGTGCGCGGGAAATAGGATTGAATGCGCCGGTGGAATTTTTACGTGGATCGGAATTGCAGACATGATGGGGTCAAAAAGGATATATCAAAAAAGTGGGAGGTGCTGACGGTTGGAAAATTTAGATCAAACCCGTCCAGAAGCAGACCCGTGCCGGTCAGCGTACCCGCTTCAAGGCCGTCGTTGTCATCGGTGACTCCGAGGGTCACATCGGTCTCGGTATCAAGACCTCCAAGGAAGTCGCTACCGCTATCCGTGCCGCCATCACCATCGCCAAGCTCAGCGTTCTCCCCGTCCGTAGAGGTTACTGGGGTACCAACCTTGGTGAGCCTCACTCTCTGCCCGTCAAGCAGAGCGCCAAGTGTGGTTCCGTCTCCGTCAGAGTATGTCGCGACTCATTCCCGATATTCGATCTCGCTTCTCAGTCCGGCCATTATGCTAACCCGGTTATAGCTTATCCCCGCTCCCCGTGGTACCGGTCTCGTTGCCTCCCCCGCTGTCAAGCGTCTGCTCCAGCTTGCCGGTGTCCAGGATGCCTACACCTGCTCTTCCGGTTCCACCAAGACCCTCGAGAACACCCTCAAGGCTACTTTCCTTGCCGTCGTCAACACCTACGGCTTCCTCACCCCCAACCTCTGGAAGGAGACTAAGCTCATCCGCAGCCCTCTGGAGGAGTTCGGTGATGTCCTGCGTCAGGGCAAGAAGTACTAGGATAGTGCTATGATGGGAATAACCTTGCATGATTGTTTTTGAATCGAACTATTTTCCTACGGGTTTTCAAAAGTCTCTTCGGTTGTAGGATCGGCAGTACCGGCAAATCCTGACCTTTCGCGCTATGCTACGCTATATACGGTATTCATGGATGTAATGAACACGGGAACAGTGAACAAGGAAAAAACAACGTGATGTCGATCCAAGCTCTCTTTCGGCAAGCCGACGGTACTTGAAAGTGGGTGGCTGACGGGTTCCTGCATTGCAATGCCTGCACACGGTCCGGATATAGTAGGATGGGCTAGGCCTTCAATCAGGGATCCCTGCGACGTAGTGCTCGATTTGATGAACAGTGGCTGCTCTCTAGACCTTCCCATATTTCCAAATTCCTCGTAATGACGTAGTTGCCAATCTCAACTTTTGCTGGTCTATCAGGCAATGTAGTGGAGAAGTTGTGCCTGGATGTGTTCCAGATTCCGCATATGGCTCCGCCTAAACCCACTGCTTCTTATCTGCCACGGCCCCCAGCCATCAACAATGTCGACGGCATCCAGCCGACATTCCCCGTACCTGGTCGTTTTATGCACCCGAGTCGGTCGCAACTTATGCAATCACAATAAGTTGATTTTCATTCGCTTGATGCTGTCGAATAAAACAAAAGCAGATTACAGAACCCGTGGCGCATGATCCACCTCCCGTGCGTCCCGCAACCATGCCTTCAGCTGCCGATCGAAGATAGTGCGAGATCCATCGAGTTACTGGATCGATGGACAAGTCACGATCCTTTTGCCCTTGTTGGTACCACCATCAATCAACCACCTTCGGGCTGGTATCCCTTTCTCCTTCACTTCCCCTTCATATCTCTCTAAGCGCCGGGGAGTATTACGGACCACTCATTTAAATAAACTCTAAGCCAGTGCGACTCAAGTTAGCACATGTCAGCTGCGCCGCGCCGCTGACAGCCTGGCACTTATCAAAGGGGGAAACAATAATCCGACAGAATTTGAGGGAATCAGCGGTCGCTGAGCCGATGCTTATTTATTATTTCAAGGATTCCTTCGTTCCTGCAAAGTAAAGTTCTCCTGACGCGAGTACCCGCCCGAGCTTGGGCTTCCCAGTGCGATGATCGCGTACACCCTAGTCTTAGGCTTCATAGGCCTGCTGGTTTTTAATTACATCTGGAACCTCGCCAAGAATATTCGCAAAGCACAGCGCTCCAAGCTTCCTTATGTTGTGCCCCCGTATAATGTCAGCATCATATTTATGATCTTGTTCGGCTGGCTTCTCCCGTTGCTTGCAGAATATTGTCTTCCCCAATGGGTTGGGGATATCCTGTACGATAATGTCGGCACCTATCGCTGGATGGTTAGGGATCGCCAAGTGAAAAGGTACGGGAAGCTTTACATGCTAGTCAATTCTGGCGGCGTTTTCTTGAGTGTCGCGGATGCTTCTGTGGTCTCTCAGATCGTCAACGCACGACAGGACTTTCCGAAGCCAGTCAGGCTATATAGTGGGTCTCCCTGACAATTGTCATTGTGCAACTTCGAATGCTAATGCTATCATAGGCATCCTGGATATGTATGGACCTAATGTTGTCACGGTGAGTTCATCTGTTCGAAAGTATTGAGTGAGGTCCTGGACTGACCTGTCTAGTGTGAGGACAAAGAATGGTCTCACCACCGTCGATACACAGCAACAACGTTCCATGAGAAGAATAACGCCCTGGTATGGAAGGAGTCTATTCAACAAACGCAGGATATGATCGAGCAATGGGCGGAAGCTTCTCCGCTAGATTCAACTCGTGGACCGGGATTCACGGCGGAATGTACTAGAGACGACATCCACAAGCTTACTCTGAATGTGTTGTCTGGCGCTGGATTTGGAGTAAAAGCGCCCTTTAAGCCACTACCCCAGGACTCGCTCAAGAACAAGGAGGACATTTTCAGGGACAGTCCCACCCCACCAGCAGGTTTCGACTTCACGTTCGGAGCAGTAGTGGCTTACATGAATGTGAACATCCCCACCATGGCGCTGGCGAACAATATGTTACCTAAGTGGATCCCGAGAGTGTTGGTTCCATTCTTCAAGCAGGACTTCGCAGCTCACCGAGATCTAGACAAGTATCTACAGAGATTGATTACTACCACAGAGTCCAGATTAAGCGGACAAGAAAGCCCCTCGAATCTTATTGAAGGCATGTTAATCTCCAGGAAGCCTGGAGACAGCAAGGACGCAGGTCTTTCCGACCGAGAAATCATCAGCAACATGCATTTATTTACCATTGCTGGGCATGAAACGACAGCAACAACTCTGAGGTTTGCTTTTGTACTGCTTGCCCTGCATCAAAATGTACAAGATTGGGTATATAACGGCATATCCGAGGCTGTCAAAGATGAACCGCCGAGTATTGGGGACTGGAACTATGACGAAGTTTTCCCCAAGCTTGTCACCCCTCTTTGCGTGATGGTGCGCCGAGTTCCCTTTCTGTATAGCTGGTGACAAGCTAACTGCAATTTAGCTCGAAACGATGCGTCTCTACCCTCCGGTTATCACCGTACCAAAATGTACAGGGGACACCCCGAGCGTCATCCACTACGACGGTAAAGACTACGTTTTGGAACCCGATATCGACATCAACTTGAACCTGGGCAGCCTTCACTATTCTGAAGAATACTGGGGGGACGATGTCACTCTCTATCGACCGCAGAGGTGGGATGCGCGCAATAAGGACAGTTTCTTGGCCGGAAATGACGATTTACCTGGACTTGCTGGCCCTGGGTTGGAATATCCGACTATCCATAAGCCAGTTAGAGGTGCCTATATTCCATTCAGCGACGGGTTCCGCGCTTGCTTGGGGAAGAAGTTCTCGCAGGTCGAATTCGTCGCTGCGCTTACGACAGTCCTCCAACAGTACAGGATTGAGTTGGCCGACAGCAGTGAGAAGGGCAGACTGAACGCTGAAAGAGTATTGAATAAAAGCACCGCGATTATTACCCTGGCTATGAGGGAGGAAGTACCGCTGATTTTCCAAAGGAGATGAGTTCTTGGAGAAGCTGATGCGTGATGGCGGATTGGCTGGCATAAAGCAGGATGACACTAATGAATGCCCAAATAGCCAAAACAAAGCCAGACAGAGTAGGATGTATATAAAGAATGTAGCAACTGACAATGGAGTAACCACAAACTCAGTGCTCGGTGAAAGTCTTTGTGATGTAGGTGCTTTGTTAATCTTCTATATGGAGCTGGTGTGTTTGAGGCGGGTTTGTCTCTCCGGCACCAAAGAAAGGCTGTTTACTTCTGCACACACGCCGAGATACTCCACTCTTAGCATCAGTGAATGGCTTCCTGGCTGCAGCAATATGTGTTCGTCCGCTTCTCACCGTTGCTTTCTCACTTTCCCTACTTTCACCACTCCTCACCTGATCTTGCTCGGCGCTTCTCGGCGCAGCAACCATCTGTTCAACTGAGGTCTTCTCCATCACAT